AAAAAAAAAAAAAAAAAAACAAACGTTTAGAATTATAAATATTTTAATGCTTACGATTAAATAATTATTTACATTTAATTGATAATTTCTATGTTATTAAATAATGTATTCTATCATTCAAATTTTTATTGTAAAAAATTTATCATTCGTGATAGGGAATCAATTGGAATCAATTGTATTTATCATAGGAAAACACATGTAATTATCATTGGTTATGATAATGATGATGACCGACTACTACTACTACTACCACTACTACTACTACTGCTACTACTACTACTGCTACTGCTACTACTACTACTACTACTGCTACTGCTACTAATACTAATACTACTACTACTTAATGTAGAATTGTTTATTCTTACTTGTTTTGCAAGTTAAGTTATCAATGTACTGAACTTGTCATTGAAATTGTAACAATCAAAAAAAAAAAAAAAAAAAAAAAACGATCTACACTGCCTTTGAAAACGAAAAATTTTGAATTTGTTTACATTAATTTGTACCAATTCGTATATTTCTATAAATTACAAAATATAAAACAAATTTCTATAAATTCCCTTATTCTATTCTTTCATTCTGCTCGAACATGTATTAGAAATTGATATTTTATTTTTCAGCCGCAACCGCGATCACAATTACATTTAATATTTCGATAAATCGACGAAATATCGAATAAAACTTTTTGCGAAATCCTTTGTAAAAATGATGATGAGCCAAGTTGAGACGAGTCTTAACCACCATTTTTCTTCGAAGAAAATTTTTTTTTTCTTTCTTTCTTTTTTTTCTTTTTTTTTTTTTTCTTTTCCTCTCTCTCTCTCTCTCTCTCTCTCTCTTCCTCCCCCCCCTCCCCCGTCTCAACAAACGTTACTGTACTGTCGCTTATCGATCGCTCACTTGATAATCAAGATAAAACTGTTTATTTCAACAACTAACAAACTCGAAGGGTTATGTCATTGCGCATAAACCGTGTTCTTGTTATGTGCGCAGGGAAACGACGCCGGAAGCGGAGGAACTATGCGGATGCAGAGAATGCGCAAAGATCGAAACAGAAACCCTTTGTCGAACCTGATTCCTGGGAATAAGTTTGCCCGAAAGGGAGCAATCGAATTGTAACATATCGTCCTCTGGAGTGACGGTAAACAAGTTGAAGATATATTGAAATATAGACGATATTTTATTGTATCATTTTTTTTTTTTTCTTCTTCTTTCTTTTGTAATATCAAACAAATTGAATCAAAGAAAAATTCCAGGTGATCATTTCTTTCTTTCTTTTTTTTTATTTATTTATTTATTTATTTATTTATTTATTTATTTATTTTTTTAACGCACTTAGAAAACGAAAAAAAAAAAAAACGCTTCGAGTTCGAGACGGGATAGATAATTTTCACATTAGCTATTATTTTCGTTGCTTTTCGAAGGATGAAAAATTGAATCGCTTAGAGAAGCTTAGCGAAATAATTGTTGTTGTCAATCAGCGATGATGTTGATGATGTTGATTTCTCGTTATTTCTCGGAGATCGATTGTATCCTCTGATTAACATTTTTATATATTTCGTGCACGTGGAATCAAAGATTTTTCACGGCGCGGTCGAGCGCAATTTATAGAAGTACAAATGTATCGATCTGTGAATAATAATTATACGCGTGGTCGCGTATATATCGTTGAATAGGCATTAAATTTTTTAACATCGGAACACCGCTTTATATTGTTAACTGTAATATTCTCGAATATTACGACACGAGTTATTGACGAAATATTTTTCTTATACAAAACAATAGGCAACGTACAGTTGAGTCTATTGATTCAGATATAACGATTGAAATGGATTCGTACGAATAAAACACTTGATGCAAGTTGATCTAAAATTCTATTGTATTATTCATGCTTGATCTCCCATCTCTTCATTTCCTGTCGTTTCAAGATTAAAAAAAATCAATTATAATAATAAGACAGATATGTGTTTTCTAAAGAATCTAATTAAGACTCTAATTAAGTTAAACGTTTTTCGCAAATCGTACATATATATCATGTACTGTCGAGAAATACAAGTAATTAATAATGCGTGATAGCAAACTATTTCCTCCTCGCAAGATATCGTTATTAAGATATTATCGTTTTTATGTTTTTTTTTTATAACTTTTATAGAATTAACGATGGATAAAAAAAGAAATCTACGCGAGTGATTTACGAATTTTTCGCGTGTACGCTATTCATTAACATTCATTTACGTCTCTATCGCTCGTAAATTAATAAAATTATTAAAAATTATTTTATTTTTTCCGAGATTTAAATATTTGATTTTATATATGGCGATTTACGTGGACGTTCGTTCAAGTTTCTTGAAACAGTGAAATAGCATTTAACATTATTATCGTGTATATGTACGAGAAATTTGAATAAATAAATTCGAATTCCATGCAAATCGCTTGTATAAAATCAAATAATTAAATCTTGGAGAGAATTTTTAATCTTTTTATTAGTTTATTAAAATTCTTGAGTGATGGAGACATGTAAACGTATTAATGAACCACGAATAACGTGAGAAATTCGTTAATTCATCGCTAATTACATAAAAATTAAAAAAAAAAAGTATTAAGACGAATATACATATAATATCGAATCGAATTGTGGATGTAATTTATTTACATTTACACATGTACATTTTTGTATATTTAAATTAAATAAATGCAGTACATCTCTGCAATTTATTTATTATTAATACACACACACCATTACGAATAATATTAAAAATTCCATAAAACGTAATAAACGCGTTTATTTTCTTCCGTCTTAATTTAACGATAATATTATAAGATAAATTCACGAATTTATATATTCCAATCGACCGCGAGCACATTGTTGATGTTTTCAAATACGAGCGCGACCTCGTGCGTCGTATCGATGAACGTTGTCAAATTCTATTTAGTTGAACATGGTTCCGCGTGTGAATCGGTGCGCGAATATTTCTCTCCGCGAAAATTTATAAATTTCGTATCGTGGAATGGTTTTCGTTCGATATTAACGGATATATAAACGTATGTGTCGAATATCGTTGTGCATTTTGTGTTTAAGTGATAATTTACCAGTGAACGATGTGATATCATTGATTACGATGAATTCGATACATATTTGAAAAGCGTATTTACGTAATTACTTCAACAATTCGGTACCTTTTGCGTCGATTCGATTGTTGTCGCGAAAAAATTATTCCATTTTGATTCTTTTCGGGTATGAGATATATCTTAAATTCGAAATTGAGTTCGTATTGTATGAGAAAATCGTTTATTCAAAATGCGAAGAAGAATCTTGAACTTTCGGAATTCGGAGGATCAAGCTAGCGAAAATATCGATACGACGCCATTGCGCAGAAGCACCATAGCATTCCCGCGGTTACGTTTGCTATACAAGGACTTCAAATCGGTGAGTCATGTTTTTCACATTTTTTTTGTTTTTGTTTGGATTGACCCTACGACGATGTTCTAATTCTATTCCATATGTGTTCGAAGAATGTAATAAACATACGAACAATCTCGTAATATTTGACGCAGATAATATTTTAATATCTATTGCGAGTGTAAAATTTCCGTTGAATTTACGAAATGAATTTTCATCGTATAGTAATTCGTAATATTTCTCGTAATGTTGATAAGCGTTGGACATTTTTGGGATTTCGAAGGGCATTGCATTTCTCAAAGCAAGGCACATGCCGCATAGAAACCCCAACCCTGCCGCAACGAACTCCAACGTGATTTTTATACCTGAAATTAAATTAAATTCTATGCTTTTTCTTAAATATTTCGGGAATACAGCACAATTTTTAAATTATTATCTTTCGTATATTCGCGTATATTATAATCGATTGATTTCCTTCGATCTTTTCTACTTCGAAAAGCGATACGTACTTCTTGAAAGAATAGTTTCGAATTTTTATACAATTTTTACATTATTACATTAATGCATAATCGTTTATACGTTATTATATTAGCACTTTATAATTTTACGTTTGGAATCAATCATCGATGGACATTCTTGCGACATCTGTCGATTTTAATCGTAATTACTTGTATTAATTTATCTATGAACCGATAGATAGCAGCATAGTTACCGAAAATTCAAACTTAATTATATATTTATTTCGGTTATTATTTATCCTTACTGAAAATTCGACTTGAAAACTAATTTACACGTTTTTTAACATCGTATTACATTTTAAACATTTATAATAAATATATATAAAATATCAAATACGGATATCTCAATTTAAAATTAATTTCAATACAAATTATTCAAAATTAATATTTTTTTTTGTCAATTAAATTCCAATTAAGTTCGATCAATACGATGTTAAAATGGGATAACGAAAATATTAATTAGATGAGAACGTTTTAAACAATTCGCGCTTTTTTGGGCTTCTGATGCCCAAAGAAGAAACCTTTCAACTTTCAATAGGGAAGCTCTAAACTCGTCGTCAAGATCACCATCTAATCCGAGGTATACCCAATACACGTGGAGCGAAGCTCAAAAGAGTATGTTGCGCTATATTAGCAACAATATATTGCGTCCCAGTGTAATGATTTCTTCGAGTTCTACGGACCATGAGAGATTTACCATGCTTGGCAGCACGGCATCGTACAATGATACGATTTCGTTCCCCTCTATGTAACACCGTTTTTTATCCGGGCAAGAGCGTTTCTTTTCGATCAGAGTTAGAAATTGCACGCGTGGCGTGCGGGACAATTTCGCCTCGTCACTTTCTGCCCTGTCGATCAGTCTGACAAATAATCAATCGCTCGTTAAACCTGCATGACGACCGCAGGAGAAACGTTGAAATCTATAAGCGGTAAACGAATGACAAGTTCTGCAATTATGTGTATCGTTAAGATCAGTTATGTCGGTCGAACGTCAGAATATTTTTATTATATAGGGTGACCTATTTTATTATAGGAATATTATTTATTCTCGAATGACTTGTTGTATCGATGTGTTATAAGATTATGCGGTTCCGTTTAAACGTACATTTTTCTTTTTTTTCTTTTTTTTAGAAAAGTTATTTGCAAATTATTTCCAAGTATTTAATAGATTTCTCGAACAGCGAGTAATTCGAGATACAATTAGATTTATAGATCTTTATCTCGTTGGAACTTTCGTAATACGTAATTGTAATTTTGATTATCTCTTTTTCGTACTTTTTTTATCTTCTATAAGATCAATTATTTTTATCGACGTTCGATATCTTCGGTCTAAAAAATGAAATTCTTTCCCTCGAATTTTCTCGAAACAATATTATGAAATTTAATATCCCGTATATAATCTCTGGCTGAAAAAACGTAAGCGGCAATTCAATTCGCAACCAATCGCATGCTTGCCCCTTTACTCATATCTTTCCACGTTTTCTATCGCGCGCAATCGTTTTCCGTGTCCTCGTTCGTATTTTTGCTTCGTAGAGAAACGAAGGGAGGAGGAGTGATTCTTTCTAAGAGTGACGGTGACAGCATAGATATACGCTTCCGTTAGACAATGGCGTTTCGTCGAATAGAATAATGCAGACGGTAGTACGATATCGGAATACCTTCTCGCATTGTCAACCTGTAGAATTAACCTCTTATCTCGAAAATGTATAATGGCGGTTAAAAGCGTCGTGGCGCCCAATAAATTTTCATCGACATCTCGTGAATTTTATCGGATTTCGAAATTTATGACGTTACATTGTCGATACATTAGAGAAATGACAGATCTGAGAATAATTTTCGATAGAAAATTATAATTGGAGCATTGAGACGGTAACTTGGATCCTCTATCGTAATTTTCTTCTGTAAAATTTATTTACAGAATAATAATTAAAATCGAATTTATCTCTTCTTATATCGCTCCAATAAATTTTTATCAATATCTCGTGAATTTTTTCGGATTTCGAAATTTATGACGTTAGAGAAATGACAGATCTAAAAAGATTAATTTCTGTAGAAAATTATAATTGAGACGGTAACTTGGATCCTCTATCTAATTTTCTTCTGTAAAATTTATTTATTAAATCATAATTAAGCTCCAATGTTAAAAATGTAGACATTCTAGTAAATTTGCAATCGATCTTTCTTCTCCATCTTACAATTATTTTCGTATTTTTTAAATATCCATCGTGTTAAATTGCACTTCAAATTAAATAAACTTTCAAATTTTCTTATACGAATTCTCGCTGTTAACCAGCTATTTTAAGTAGAATTTTATTTGCAAATGTCGTATCGTATCTCGTCTACCGTTGAAAAAGTAACTAGTTAAAAATTTCGAACAGAAATTATTTCAAGTAATCACTCATTAAAATGCTAGGAATAACATTTATTCCTAGCTATTATAGTTGATCTTCTCCTCATACAACCCTTGTTGTTTGCTATTACAATTGTATTATTATTATTACATTTTGAATATTTAAATCATCCAAGTAACTTTGTTAACTTCAACTATTAAATTGATTACACTTATTATTATTATCATCACATTTTGAACGATAAATCATCCAAGTATCTTTATTAACTTCAACTATTAAATTTTGCCCATCTATGTCGTGTTTAATAGAGAGCAGAAGAAGAAGAATCCTCTATCCTCGCATACGGATGAAGTTCTTGCGTCCCCTCTTTTTAAAATTCACATCCCGCCAATTGCGCTACGTTATTACAGAGTCCGCAGATGATACTGTATTAACAGTTGAGAATTTCTCGCAGTTTTACGAGGCGGGTACCTTTATGGAATTACGAGCAGATTTCCTCGGGCTATTAGGGTTCTAGCTGTAATAGGCACGTTACACCGAACCTCTTTTTTCAGAGGACGTCGCAATAACAACAGTCGATTAGCATTGCCTCGCATTACTTACGGTCCTGAGTGAGTAAGAAAAAATCTTACTGCGTAAAAATTCAGCCAACGAGTGTTTAAGGGTTCTTAAAATAGACGCAACGTAATTGCGTTTTGAAAATTTGTGAATACATGCAAGGCAGAGCGAAAAAGTATTTTGAGAGACGGTTATACCAAGTAAAATTCTTTCGTCGGAAAGAATAATGATAATTTTTGAATAATATAAATCCGTTACGAAATTTTCACTTCGCAATGTCTGTTGACTTTTATATTAACATTGACGCATCATTCGTGCAATTAACAATTTTCACGATTTTTATTCGAATTTTTACTTAAAATTAGAAAAAAATTTGAAAATATTTAAAAAAAACTAACTTTTCAAACTTAAGATCGAAAACGAAAAGATTTCTTTACTCGAAATAGGAAAAGGCGTGTACAAAATTTGTAAATATTTAAAAAAAAAAGTAACGTTCATCTACAAATACCGATGTAAAATTGTTTAAAACGCAACGATATCCCAATATCGAATTATTTTCATTTTTTCTCTCTCCCTCTCGTTCGAACAAACGAAATCCATTTTCATCGTCGCCCTATCCCATGTTCGTTTGCATTCATTTCCACCCCGATCTCCTCTCCGATCCTCTCCAATATATTCGACGAGCGACGGTTTTTTACGATCGTCCCATTGGCGAGCAGGTTTTAGTAACAATTTGTCGAACACGGAGGCCCCCGACGTTTTGCATCCGAGCACAACTCTCTTTCTCTTTCTCGGTGTTTCGTTGCATCCCCGGCCACGGGAGGACGATTAAATTTGTATGCCCGTTAAAGCACAATGCTTGTTGTGCACGCTCGTCAGCGCGACCTAAAAAAAAACTCCATATACCGCACTGTAGTGTAGCATGGCGTCGGAACAAGGACGGTTCCTTGTTCCGCGAACAACATCGGCTTTGCTGAGACGCATGCGACTCAAACATTGGTCGTACAACGGTTAGGTTACTCCCTATAATTGGAACATTTAAGAATTTCTCCACGAAGACGGAATTAACGAACTAGAGATGAAGTTTAAATTAAAAGCAACACCGATGGAAAGAAGTCTCGAAAGTCTGATCGGTTAATTTAGATGAAACCATTTATTCTCATACGTATTTTTGTTTCTATTCCATATTTGTCACGTATACCTCGATACCGCATTATAGCGCGGGCATAGAATTGAGATTATTTTAAAAATTTTATTATTTCGTCATGATATTTGTGTTCGAGTAATTAAGATAACAATTGTACGTATACGAATAAGGTAAACATACTAATACTACTACTACGTAACGTGTGGTGTCAGGATCGTCAACAAAACGTCTGAAGTGGGGATAAACGGTCCTAGCGTTATTTCGAAGTGAGACTTCTTTCCAGCAGTGGACAATATATATTTCTTACGTATCAAATTGACGCGATTTTCGAGATTTTAGAAGACAAATGAATTCGAATATTTACTTTATATCTCTTAATTACGAATAAAAAGTGATTTCTATAATTTTTCTTGTGTCAAGAATTTTGGATATCGGTTTCAAGATGTGAAGTTC